CCTCTCCTCGCACACTTCCCTACCTGGCCATGTCTCAGAACGAAGCTTTGATTACCAAAGTATAGAATGCAGTTCAGTAGAAATACCACAGTCATTGCTCGACCAAAATGGCTTGTCTGTGGTCGGAATAGATTTGTTAGTCTCTAGGAAAAAAAAAAAAAAAAAAAGAATCTGACTCTGGTACTGCTTACAAAAGAAATTGTTGTTTGGAACCGAATGCAAAATTTGCAAATTGAAAAAAAAGAGGAAAGTCTGAGACAATAATTGAAAAAAGAAGAGGAAACCCACCTCGCTGAATCTCCCGAACACAAAGCTCTAATCAGCAATATCCTACTAAGACTAAAACACGTACGAGCTGCATGCTGGGCCCCAGCACCACGGGCAGCATCAGCTGGAGTAGCAATCATTTGGCACAATAACTCAAGAGCCGCCAACTTAATTCAAATAGAACACAATAGAACAGACCTAGATCATGGTCGATGGATAGATTCAATCTTCACATTCAAGGAAGAGTCCTTCCAACTCATAAACGCTTACGCCCCAAATGACTTTTCACAAAGGCAAATCCATATACAGAGCATAACAGAAATGTGTAATGTTCAGAAACACTTCGTCCTAGCAGGAGACTGGAACACAACCCTCCACCCTGCTAGAGGCAGACTATCATGCTCCCAAGGGGAAAGAGAAAGCCAACTGCAAACAGAGTCCCAAGCAATGCACATATTATTAATGGAAAGACACCTACTTGAACCCCTTGTGACGCTCCACTCAGAGATAAACAGATTCATATAGGGAAAAAAATAGAACCCAGCACATTACTAACTCAGCCATAGACTGGAGTAATCAATGCTGTTCAGGGGTCCTTCGGCCAGACGGAAGGAAGCGTGAGTGTGTTATTGTTGTAATGTTCATTCAGACTTGCCGGTGGAATAGGAACCGGACTGACGCTCCCCAAAGGAGCCAGGATCGTAAGGTCCTGTTAAAAGAACTCAGCCATAGACTATTTTCTAATATCAGAATCCCTTAGAGGCTCTATATTTAATGTGGGTATAGGAAAACTACCCTACCACAATGTTATTGTTGTAATGTTTATTCAGACTTGCCGGTGGAATAGGAACCGGACTGACGCTCCCCAGAATGGAAAAGGAGCCAGGATCGTAAGGTCCTGTTGAAAGAACTCAGCCATAGACTATTTTCTAATATCAAAATCCCTTAGAGGCTCTATATTTAATGTGGGTATAGGAAAACTACCCTACCACAATGGCCTAGACCACAGCCCAATCTTCATAGACCTCATATTTGACCCAGGGCTACAAAAGGTCCAAGCTTCTTCAAGATCAATAACTCTATCCTTCACACCCGAGAAATGACAGAGGCTATAGTACAAGCCTGCATTGACTCAGATAGAGTACTGGCTGACTTCCCGTCCCTAGTAGCTAACCTATCTAGAGCAGCATCCACAGCCTCAAGGAAACTAGCAGCAAACGGAAATCAAAGAGTAAAGGAACTAGAGGCAGCAGTCAGCATCGCTGAAACCAATTTAGGCAATAACCTTAGATCCACAGAGGAAGAAGAACTACTAACTAGAGCTAAGTCAGAATTAGCCACCTGAAAAGCAAATGGTATGAGACTAAGAGCCAGGATAAGAGAATGGGAAAAGGGAGAGAAAATGACAAAATACTTCTTCCAGAAAATCAAGGCACGATGAAGGAATTCAACCATCAGTCAACTAAGAGGAGAAGAAGGCCTAACATCAAACCCAACAAAGATGCTGTCCATAGCTGAATCATTTTACAAAGAGCTTTACACCGCCAAGAGAGAAACGCCTACCCATAGAACAATCCTTCACGCTAGAGAAAAATTCAGCAAACACCTTGATAAAACTATATCACACACCAAGGCAAAAGAACTTGACAAACCAATCACAAATGAAGAAATCAAAAAAGCATTAGATTCCATGAAGTCAGAAAAAAACACCAGGCATAGACGGCCTCTCAAGAGAGTTTTGGCAAACCTACTGGCCACTGCTAGGAGAAGAATACTGCCACTTCATAAGATTGGCATGGACTAACGGAAACCTAGGACCAACACTTAGCACTGGTATAGTCACACTTCTTTACAAAAAGGGCGACCCAACAGACATTAGGAATTATAGACCAATCACACTACTAAAAGTAGCATACAAGATTTTGACAAAACTACCAGCCAACATAATTTGAAAGATCGCCCAAAACTGCTTTCATATAGACCAGACAGGTTTCATCCCTGGACGGTTCATTTTAGACACTGTCATGTCACTAGCAGAATCAGTGAGACACATCCGAGATAAACAAACGAATGTAGCAACCCTTTTCTTTGACTTTGAAAAAGGTTATGATCAAGTCAACTGGGGCTTCCTCTACAATGGGAGTAGGTCCTAACTTCAGGAAATGGGAAGAGTCCTCTACAACGATGCAATGGGGGCAGTGCAGATCAGTGGTCATATATCCAACAAATAAAAAATGTCCACGTCCGTCAGACAAGGTGATCCCCTGGCGGCGCCAATCTTCCTTTCCGCCTCCTTCTCAAGGAAAGACCCATCCATCCACAGACTCGCTGAACAGACAGAACAAAACTCGCATAAGCACCATATCCCCCCAATAGTCTTGTTCGCAAATGACCTAACCGTCCTCAAAAGAGCTTCATCCTTGTCTTTTGAAGCACGCACCAGAGCAATGTGTGCATTCCAACTAGCCTCTGAAATGCGCATCAATTGGAGCAAGACAGTGGGCTGGTGGTTAATAGAAGAAGGACTCGAACCACCCCGAAACACACTAGAAGGCCTGACATGGGCGGACCCCAATAACCCACTCAGAATGCTAGGAATACAGATGTCAATACACGGTGCTGCATCAGAAATGGCACCTAGCCTACTTGCTAAAATGACCAGCAAACTTAACGACTGGAGGAAGATCCACACCTCCTTGCATGACAGAGCACTAGTCCTAAACGTCTCCATATACTCGATGATGTGGTACGTCGCAGCCTTCTGGGCCCCAGATCAACGAGCCCTAAAAGACCTCCAAAAGAAAGCAACTACTTGGCAATATGTAACAAGAAAGAAGAGCCAAGGAGGTCTCGGCGTCCTAGACCCGGCCATCCAAATAAAAGCTCTCCAAACCAAGTCGATTATAAAGCTATTAATGAATCCTAGACTACCGTGGAGGGCCCTGGCCCTAGAAGGATTGCAACAACTACCGAGCTTCAGCACCCCAGAAAACATGGAAGGTACCTTATGGATCCTGAGCAAATCGTGGACTATAAAGAACAAATCCCAAAAGGAACAATGACTAAACTGCTGGAAGAGACTACTGAAGGCGTGGAGAGAGATCTTTCCGTCGAAAGTAAGGAAACCAATCAACAAAGAGGAAATTCTCAGACAACCTCTCTTCCGTAACTCTTGGATAGTCAATAACGAAGGCACGCCTTTCACTCTCAATGTGACGAGACCGAGGCAGAGCAGAGAGGTCGAGGGAGAGAGAGAGAGAGAGGGAGAGAGTGAGAGCACACACACACACACACACTCGACTCAGACACGGTCTCAACTCGACACGACGGATGCAGACACGAAGTGACAAAGTCTCAAAGTCGCAAAGTTGCAATCTTGGATTCCGAACACAAAGTCGCGGCGAGTCACACTGAAGCACAAGCACTGAGGCCGAAGACTGAATGCCCCAACGGGGCTCGAGTCCGGACTTGAGTACCGGACTCGGGCTCAGTCCGAAGGGCCGAGATGCGGCCTGCCTCGGGACTGAACTGAGGATCGCAGGTCTGCGTCTGGGCGCCAGAATGTCAGATGGCGCCAAGTATCGAAATCCGAAAATGCCAGCAGAGGAATTTGAGAACGGGCGCCAACTGCAAAGGGCACCAGCAGTCCAGAACCGGAATCAGGAACTTAAAATAAAATAGCAGTCTGGGGGGTGGTAACCCGCGGACCAGGGATCGAGCCCTGGCTGAGTCCATAACACTATCCCCTCCCTCTAGAAGGCAACGTCTTGGCTGCCAAAAGTCATGAAACAATGCTGAAAACTGCGGAGGACGGGATGGAGCCAATCATTGGTCAGCTAGTCACAAGGGAAGAGGGGTATAATGCAGGCGTCTGGTTGTGTGATTAGGGAACAGGGCTTGTAATTGTGAGCTGGAAACAGTGTTGTTCTATTGATGAGCTAAGGGAACATGGTAGTTCTAACAGGGTGGTCCTATTAATGAACTAAAGGTTTAGCGACAACGGGGAACGGGGTAATCCTGCTGATGAACTAAGGGTTTTGGAATTGCGGGGAACAGGGTGGTCCTATTGATGAACTACGGGTTTTCAGGGGTATGGTTGCAAAATGAGTAGTGGTTATGCGAAAGTCTTGGGAACAGGTCTTGAGAAGAGTCACAAAAGTATCGAGGAGGGAACAGTCTTCAGTCATCTCAGGACGTCGTCAACCGGGCTTCAGCTTGAATGTCCCAGTAGCATGAGGCGTCCGGTAGTCTTGATCTGGTGCTAAGGTCTGATCCGGATGGCAGGTCGCAGACAGATATTGATGTCAATGTCGAGGTTGCTGCTCCAGAAGTCAGCGAGTCCAATGTGGCGGCCAATGGGAACAGCATGGTGACCAACCAGCTGCTTTATCTCCTCGAACTGAGTTGCAGCATGCCATCGTCCTCGTGCGCTTGCCATTAGATCCATTATCGTCGGTGACGTGTAAGGGCCGCATAGGGAACTTGGACAAG